TGTGTGTGTGTGTGTGTGTGTGTGTGTGCGTGCAAGGGATTATGCTAGTAGCCATGTGGGCTGGAGGTTAAATCTATAATAAGATTATCACTGTGGAGGCCTTTAAATGGGGGAAACTCTTCGAAGAGCATGGCACCTGTCAACAACCGAACAGGAAGCAAATAAGAGCTGCAGGGAGGACATTAGTTGTAAAATTTAACGATAGGCTTTTACGTTGCAGATGAGTAATTTGTATTAAATTAAAAGATGAGTAGTTGTGTGTAATTTCTAAAATGTTCGGTTGATTTTCTATGTCTCCCTCCTCCTGCAGCCTCAGCTTGAAATTAAATAGTTGTCATATTTTAGCTTGAAATTCATCCAGGGTATTTTTCTTGCTCAAGGCTAGCTGTGGTGGAAACCATGATATCCGCACTGCAGTGAGTGAACAAAAACAAGATGGTGTAACCATAACCCTTTCAGTCTCAGAAGTGTGAACCCCAACATCTGAGCAGGAGAGACATTGTAAATCAATCTGCTGCTCTTAGGCTTAAGTACAGCCACTAAGATGATCTCATCTCTCAGACATCTAATCTCAGGTTTTCAGGTAAAGGAGAAATATTGGGATAGCAGTACGCCCATCTCATTTCACCTTCCCCTGAGAGAGGTGGGCTGAGAGAGGGACCGTCAGAAGTGAATAATGGGAAAAGTAAAACGTGACAGAAATAGAGGAGGGAGGTGGTGGAGACAGGCATGTGAGAAGCATTAGCAGATTACTGCATGGAGCATGATGGGACATGAACCATTGCTAGCTGGGCCAGATCTCTGTGTTTTGCATACTATGGGACAGGATATTATTGAATAAGATAGAGCCTTATGGGACCCCTTGATCTTGCAAAGGGGAATACAGAGAAAGGACTGTCAAAGCAACGCACAAGGTGTATAAAAAATACTTGTCAAATTCACGTCTTTAATTGTGAGCCAGATATCTCAGGCAGAGACAGAGGTGAAACATTATAGTGCAAGATGAGCTTTGAGTATCAAATCACATCATTTCAAGAAGCCAAAACCTAGTCCTAAATTCTTCTTTTCTACAAACCAGAAAATGTACAATAGACTAATGCTAATATCAAACTAGTCTAGACGTTGGCATGCCTGTCAAATGTGAAGGGGGAAAAACGTGATGACTAACAGTAATAAGATTAGGACTAAGGAAGATCAGGAAAGACCTTAACTGATCCATGTCACCTGGAAGTGGCACAGCAGGGAGCTGGGTGTTGCACAGTTGGAGCCAGACTGAAACGGAGTAGCATAATTCCCTTTAACAGAAGCTGCGATTAAAAGATCATCTTCCCAAACAATGGACTAAATACTAAAACGCTTCACGGATTATTGCATTTAGCAGGCATTGAGAATTTTGTGGAAATCAAGGTAAAATCTATTTCCAGCCATAATTAAGCCATTTTAATACCCCAATGCTGATCCGGCAAGTTAAAAAGCCTGCAGCTCACACGAGAGGAAATGCTCTGGTCTGGAGCATATTGGCAAAAAGGGCAGGAAGAGCGCTTCAGCTGTTGCTTCTCTATCTGATAAAGGCCAAAGCAAAACAAACTCAAGATACAAAGGTCTGGAACTATTAGGCAGGCAATGTATCTATGCCCTGAAGCTTCAATGATCATTCAAAGACATTTTAAAAATGTGATGTCATATTTGACCAACCCCTCGCTCTGTTTTCTTCCAGGTAGACGGTTTCTTCACCTTGCTTTTCGGCCTTGCAAGCATCAACACTTTGACCGTTATCAGCATCACCAGATACATCAAGGGATGCCATCCAAACAAAGGTCAGATCTAACCTCCCTGACTTCATGTGAGATAACACAAAGAGAGCCTCAGACAAGTGTCTCTGCCTGTCTCACATTCCAGCAGCTCGTATCTGACAGAAAAGTGTGTATCCCAGTGCTAATGAAACCTTATTACCAACTTCAGCATTCTCCAGCAGTCTCCAGCAATTACACTTACATTTTGCCAGCATGTCATTAAGTTAATTTGAGGTGACATTTTCTATTTTTGGGGTGTAACTGATGCAGAAGAATGTCTTAATTATATGGAAATTAGGTTGTCAGCCTGGGATGCGAGTTTTTACAATGTTTGTGATTGTTCATAAAACACAAGCAATATAAACCTGTGTGTGGTTTTGTTTTTTTCTTACATAAGCGGTTAAACTATGAACATTGGTGATATATGTGGGATATCATCAACTGTATTATGTGTCAGAGTATAGCTGCAACTACTGCAACCGGAAACAGATGTTGATCTATAAAAAATATAATATAATATAATGATATCCAAACAACAATACAAGGTAATTCAGCTATGTATTGTATTGTATCGTAATCAACACTGTATACTGCCAGTCCTCTCTCCCAAACGGTACCGCACTTATTGTATGGTACATTGACATAAAATGTGTGAGCACTGCTCAGAAACAGAGCAGACCTATTGCTTTTCTTTCTTCCCCTGAATACAAAGCTAAGTGTCCTTTGTCAACAGAAGTTCTTTTCACTTGCAGATGTTTGCGAAGGCTGTTAATATAAGAAAAGACCTCATTGTTCAATAAATGTCGCAATCTTGACATTCATAACAAGCCGAGAATGCTGCATCTTTGAGTCCCTCTCACTTTTGTCCTGTGTTTGCCAAAGTCATAACAGTTAACCTTATCAAACTGCAACAAGTCTGTTCCATAACTTGGGAATATTCTGTTGTATTCATGTTACGTTTCCTTGTTGTGTGTTATTGCAGCTTACTGTATCAGCAATAACACCATTGCCGTTTCACTCATCTGCATTTGGACTGGAGCGATGTTTTGGTCTGTTGCTCCACTGCTGGGCTGGGGCAGCTACACAGGTCTGTTCTCACACAATAACCTCAGAGAAGAAAGGAATATAGCCTTGACCTGACCTCTCCATCTTATGTTCCTTAGATCGAGGCTATGGCACCTGTGAGGTGGACTGGTCCAAAGCCAATTACTCCACCATCCACAAGTCCTACATCATCTCCATCCTCATCTTCTGCTTTTTCATCCCTGTGATAATCATGGTCTTCTCCTACATCTCCATTATTAACACAGTAAAGAACACCAACGCCATGTCAGCTGATGGTTTCGTCTCCATCCGTCAAAGGAAGGTGGAGAGAGATGTCACAAGGGTAGGCAAATAGGGGAAAATAATGTTTAATACTGAGGTTTTTATTGGATACGAGTTGATTGGAAAAATACAATGAGACTCTTTAATGTTCCACTTAAAGTGCCCTGTCTGTAATAAACCTCCTCTTACGTTATTCCAGTCTTGACAATTGTTCCCTCGTGTTCCTCTCTAGATTTCCATTGTAATCTGCACAGCTTTCATCCTGGCCTGGTCGCCATATGCCGTGGTGTCTATGTGGTCAGCCTGGGGTTTCCACGTGCCAAGCACAACCAGCATCTTCACTCGCCTCTTTGCCAAGTCTGCCAGCTTCTACAACCCGCTCATCTACTTCGGCATGAGCTCCAAATTTCGCAAGGACCTCTCTGTGCTGCTGCCGTGCGCATCAGAGCGCAAGGAGGTGGTGCATCTGCAACATTTTCAAAACATTAAAGCCAAGGCTGAGGCCCCGCCCGCACATGCATCTCTTCCTGTCCAGAAGCTGGAGGCAAAACACACTGCTGGAGAGCTGAACCAATCCAATCCTGATAGCGACTCAGGGGTCAACAGTCCTCCTGAGACTCCTCCATCTGACACACAGGAGGTCTTCCACATTAACCTGCCCTCCCACATTGAAACATCAGAGTATTGGTGTGACAGGCTCTGAAGAGTATTTTTGTATTTTTGGTCTTTACTGTTTTAATAAACCGTATGTCTAGCCAGTGTTAATAAATTATTTTCTGAATCTCAAGTGGGATTTCACACCTGTTTTCATTTCCAACTCTTACAAAGGCTTCATTTAGCAATCATTTGATGAGCAATGCATAACTGATTTGCCTGAAATCAGAACATTTTCTTAGAATATCTCCAGCTGATGAAATGTGGGGGCAGTAATACAGCGGGGCAAAAGATGCACGATTACATCTGGAAACACTGAACCGTCCTCAGTTCAGCTGAAGCATGTGATGGCACAACGTTCGGCCATTTCCCCTGCTGCCCAAGGGCACTCATGCCATCAGATCTCCCATACATCCCACATTCCCAGAGAGATGCCAGATTACACTCTGTCAAGTATCATCTGCCTGTAGAAATGTGTCAGTTTAAATCTCTATTCATCATGTCAGTCAAGCAAAATCATATGGGAGCAAAGGTTAGCATTGAGGGAAGCAGGCTCTATGTTTACAGAAAAATGTGAAAACTAATCCAAGGGTGTGGTGAATTAGGACAATTTTTTTCTGTTGACAAGATTTCAAACTAATGACAATGTTGAAAGAGAAATGAGCAGCCCTGAAATAGCACCTGATCTTTTTTTTTTCCTTCTAGCAACATAAATGGGCAATTATATACTTCTAGCCATGAAGGTTTAATCACAAAAATTTTTCCTGAGGTGCTTTCTACAAAGATCATAATCACGCTCACAACGAGCTCTTTTACAGCAACCTCTGCATCAAAATGGCAATCAGCTTCAGCATAACCATCCAGATGGTGTATAATAGCAGCAGCTTGTGCTTCGATCTGCGTAAACCGACAGGCTCTCCCTGTTGGAGTAGTTGAGGTTGAGGCATGACTGTGTGTGTTTGTTTGGAGGGGCTGTGGGGCTGACACATGTACTGTAGACCACAACTGCAGATAAAAACCTCAAACCCTGAAGTGACAGTGTGACTTGAAGGGTCTGTTTCACAAACAGGTGTTGACTGGTTTATTTGGCGGAGGAGGAGTTTACGGTCTCCTCTTGGTTGCTTTATTTCTCAATCAGATGACGGGATGGCACAACAAATAACCAAAATCATAGCTCAGTTTTTCTCCCTTACTTAACAGAAAAGATTCATCTTTAAGTGCCTTGGGCATGCTAAAACTATGACCATATGTTTTGGTTTCTTCTGCCCTAAAAAAACCTGTTACACAAACAAAAAGAATGCGTGCATTGCTAAATTGCTACGTGCCAGATCTTTGCATCCTCTCCTGGTGGCCCCAGGTTACTGATCTTCTTCTGCCTGGGTGAAGAGCTGGGTGCCTGAAGTGGGACGGGCAAAGAGGGGAAACTCTGGCCCCGTCCCGTTCTCCACTTTTAATGAGCGCTCCGAACATGCAGGAGTAAGAGTCCAGGTGGAGCAGTTCAGCGCTAACAAACACGCCCGCTGGTCCAACATTGCGTTTCGATGAAAGCGTAAGGGGAAAGCTGCACAGGGAATTACTTGTTTTTAAGGAGGACAATTATACCTTCTCAGGTAAGTCCACCTTCATTGCTCTACGGAGAGGAGGATTTTGAGCAGAGAGTTACAAATCAGCTCCACACATGAAGCGGCGGTTTTGTTTTTGCTGCTGCGTGGCGTGAATGAATTATCCGCTTTAGAAATGATGCGTAATTGCGCGTAATTGACCTCCACCGAGTCCAAGCGAGTTTGAGTTCTTTTGATAATCTGGTGTGTAAGAGGTTTTAACCAACACTGCATGGTGTTTTGTTTTTACTTTTTAATAACCCTTTTCTTTTACAATTTATGATTGGTTCAGCTGAGCTTGTGAGATTTGACAGGCTGCCCAATTCTGTTTAAATTCAATGTTTGTTTTACTTTCTGTTTATTTTTCTTAATTTTACCTTTCGAGTAACAGCACCTTCTTCTTTCCTAAACTGAAGCTGACCGAATTCGGATATGTCACCACCTCTCAATGCTCATTATAGAAATGTTCTGTGGAAAATGAGCCACCCTTTATTTTTCAGGCTATTCTAAGCTTTTATTTTGAAATGACTCATTTTGTATAATAAGCAGGAAACCTGATAAGTGAATTCTTCAGCTTTTGTTTTGATTTCTTCTACATTATGTTTGACATTTCTGTATGGTTTGAAGGGGCCTGATTAAGCACAGGTGGCGTCTAATATGTCCAGCAGCAGACTACAGGCTCTGGCTTGCACTGAAGTCGGTGCCAGGAATTAAAGTAATTCAGCCTGCTCTGTGCTTGATAAACAAATACTGTCCCAGCAGCAACAGCAGCAGCCCAAAAGGCTTCAGAAATGACCTTGTAGAGACATGTTGGCTTCCCTGTGTGTCTGATCTCTCCCATGGTTCTTTAGTTGGCTTGTTGTTATAACACTTGGCACAGCTAACATGCTTACAGTACATTTCTGACACCTGTTAATATGGGGATTTAACACTCCCTGGCACTGGGTGCGTGTAAATACTGTCTCACTTCAGGCATGCCATCACTCAGGAACACTAAGAAACTAAGTTCAAGGCTGGTAATAATACTCAAACAAGCCTCAGTCCCCTTTAGTACTTACCCTTGTTGCATTTACACTGGCCACCCCAGACAAGGAATGTGGGTGCTGCTGAAATGGAGGAAGACTGAAATACAGTCTTTGTGTTTTGGCACAAAGCTGCATGGCTTCACTCTTACTGATGTGGAAAACATTTAGAGGGTGAAAATGTGAAATAACAAGATGTTCAGTATTCAGCCTTCTAAGGCTATAGGGCACCAGTCACAGATGTGGTCTTCCCATGCTTGGAGAACCCATTGTGTGCTGGCCTTTGAAATAGGCACAGACAGCTAATGTACATCCTGTTTGCATTAAAACCATTGTCTACCTGTGACACTCCTGCCAGGTGCGATTTTCAGCCTGCATTATCAGATTTCTGGTGCGTAAAAAGAAATTTGCCTGCAGGAGCTGAAAATGGTCATTTCAGTGCAACAGCAGACCAACAGGCTTTTCAAAAAACAGCTTTGCCTTGTGTAATCTTAGTGTAGGCTGCTTTGTGCGTGTAATCCACATTGTAGGGAGAATGTTATCCCGAATTGAATTGCACTTTAATTCCTCGAACTATGTGATCTGTCTGAGCTGCAGGGGTTTTAAAGTGACTGAGGCTCCTGCACAGAAGCTTTCATCTTTTGCAGGGGCTGTGGAAATTGCTTTGCCTATTTGTTGTACATTTTATCATAGTAAATTGTTAGCGTGGCAGTTTGTTTGACTTGTGTCTCCACCCAGCAGAAATGAGATGCTCAGTTTGGTGACAAATACAGCATGATTGCACTGAGGAGGCCAGCTGAAGCTGTGCTATAGGTACAACCCATGCCATATCTAAGTTTAACACAGGTGTATCCAAGATGTACAGAACCCACAGAGTATGTAGCCCTCCCTGTTTCTAATTAATGGTGGTGGTACTTGGTGAGTGTGAAAGCCCTCACATACCACGCGTGGCCTTTTCCAAGCACCTATCCCAGATCTCAGTCTCCGTTTGTTTATTTTGGATCCTTTAGTTGAATGTGTACTTGAGTGTGTGTGTGTGTGTGTGTGTGTGTGTGGGTGGGTGAGAGATTGTGTCTCTGCAAGTCCTCTCAGAATCTATTATCTACTGTACAGGAAACTCCCAACAGTGTTTGTCCAAGGATATCATTTGCCCCGCATTTCACTGCTTGGAGAAGGAGGCATTTAGAGACTTCCAATGAGGGCACAAATTTAGAAGTCTGAAATTATTGTCACTTGTTGCACATTTCATTTTTTGCTATAATGATGTCATGCCTTTCTTAAAGGACTCTTCAGAGGAACAAAGTCACTGAACGAAGGCTTCTTTTTAAGTGTTCGTACGCAAAAAGTAGTAGTAGTACTGTACATTGGTGAACATGGTGTTCTTAGTTCAGATTTCCTTGCAGGTGTATGATAGATTGTACTTTGCATTATCCAGAGAATTGCGCTGACTCACCGCTCATGTGCTGCAGGTCTGTCTCCTGTACTGTAGATGTTCATATCTGTCCCAGCTTGTTCCCAGCCTCAGCTTTCTTCTCCCGTAAGGACAAATTGTAGTCCTGACTGTGCAGCAGTGATCTACCTGCCTGCCATAACACTGTGGAAAAATCATGTCAGTGCTCATGAATGTCAGATAAAAATGTAGAGCGGCATTAGGGAAAGTCCTATCACTGCCAACTGCTGCTATGTTAAGTTTTTCCTTAACATGAGATGCTGTGTTTTTGTGGTTGTGTATTCATGCTCATTAGATAAGAAATCATGCACTTCAGTGCACAACAACCGCCTCACATACACTTTATGTAGAAGCTGTGATAGAGAACTGTCGGAGGTAACAGTGAAAATGTACATCATTACACTACACAGTTATGTTTACCAGCTGGACAGGACTGTGATGCTTTATCCAATATGATGATGATCCAGCACAGGAGACAGATAGTGAGTTTTAAAGGAATAGTCAATATTTTGGGAAATGCATTTATTTTTCATTTATTTTGCATTATCTTTCTTGCTGAGAGTGAATTGTCACTGCCCACTTTGTGCTCTATTGAGCTTCATTAATTTGATGATTAAAATATGGGAATAATAGGTATAACTCTGCACTCCAGCAGTTACAATCCATCCATCGTCAACCGCTTATCCTGCGTACAGGGTCGCTCCCAGCTTACATTGGGCGATAGGCGGGGTACACCCTGGACAGGACACCAGTCCATCGCAGGGCCACATATAGACAGACAACCACTCACATTCACACCTAAAGACAATTTTTGGAGACACCAATTAATCTAGCCTGCATGTCTTTGTCTTTTGCTTAGAGAAATGTTGTCATTTTCCCATTTACACCTGCACACATCCACACCTGACAACTCACTGAAGCAGATGCCTTGCTCAAGGGCACCTCAGTAGGTGCATTACAGAAGGGACTCCTACTGGGATCTTCTAGTCACAAATTCACTTCTGTGACAAGACAGGTGTATTTTTACATAGTTTTTTCAATGGTACTATTAATTCTTGCAGCACCTACACACATCAGTCTGAACTGCATCTGACCCTGCCTCAGAGGTCGCTGTATGATCACGTGATCAGACTAAACCTGCTGGTGTGTGCCGGCAGTGACAGACGTGACGCCACCCTCGTGGGAGGTACAGCATTCCTCTGTTAACAGGGAGGCCTCAGTCATCACCTTCCCAGTAAGGAGCTCCATACCTCCACTGCCGTGCAGAGAAGGGACTGGGTTGGCTCTCATATTTAGTTCATCTTCCAGCTTTCTCTAGCCGTCTCTCTTAGCTCAGACTAATTGCAGTTGTAGTTATCACCAGCGTTATCATTACTGCAACAGACCTGCAGTGTCTGGAATGACGTCTCCGCGACCCATTTCTGTTCTTGTTAACGCAGGCTTTGACTGTGATTTATGTCTTTACATTTGTATAACTTTTGAGTCTGAACGACAGACACAGAAAGAAATGTTCTGTGTTAAACAGACTGTATTTCAAACTGGGATCCAGCTTGATGTGGTTGTTAGTGTCATCTGATTGAACACAGTTCCCCATTCCTTACACATTATATTATGTTTGTGTGTGCTCTCTAATTGAGTCTGACTCCATACATAGAGGGAGGGCCCTTAAATACAGTTTTGTTTGAGTCCAGATGTTCGCTGTGGAGCTCCTGATTGGTAAATACCTTCAGCCTTTTGTAACCCAAATCATTGCAACAAGAGACATTGAGCTGCACTGAAATAAAATACTCATTTGATCTGACTGAGCTTTGAAGTAGGTGCAACAATGTAAGTTACAATGAATGTTTTCAAAATGTTCAACATATAAGATAGGCTTTTCGGACGTTAGATGGGTTACTCAGATAGTTCACAGTCTGTCTGCTGTTTATCCATAATTCTCTGGAAAGTGCATCTTAGTGGCATAAGTTTACAGTTTATAGTAGTTTTGTTTACAGCTGACATTACAACACTCTTCACACTCAGAAATGTTAACTAAAGTGTATAAAGTAACCTTCAGCGGGTAAGCAGGAAGCAAGCAATTGGTTTCAGATGATATCTGTTGCTTCTCCTCTCCTCTCCCTAAGGTCGGGAGGTTATACAAGGACACCTGGCTGACCTGCTGAATCAGCGCACCACCCATCACGATGAGAGCATCACTCACTGCCATCTGCCTCGGTGAGCAACCCGTCTGTCTGTGTGCAGGAGTACGCTGGTTTTAAATATATGATCCTTGAGTACAATGTTTCATATTTCCAAAATACTCTGGGTGCTACCTCTTTCAGAATCAGTTTTCTGTTGCATTCACACCATCAAACAGTGGCGTACTCTTTCATAGAGGTCTTGTGTGTACAGTAAACACACAGATGATTATGTTACTTTGTCTTGCTATTACGTGACACTCCCCCTGCCTCACCCGCAGCGCTCCTCCTGTCCTGTGCTTGCTGGGCCAAGCCTAACGGATCAAAGAACAAGAAACCAAAGCAAGGTATACATCCTCAACAAGCAAGCCTGTAATTGCCGTCAGTCCCAGTGTTATTGTCTCCACAGTCTCTTTTCATTTACTTATTCAAAGAATTTCTAAATCGGGATGTATAAGTTTTCAATATTTATTTATACTGGGAACAAAAACTTACATGATAAGATGATAAGATCATGATATGATAAGATGTAATGATGTCTTTTTATATAAGAATTCATTGCATTTTTTATATCATAAAATATATATACTTTATGATATAAAAAATGCAATTAATTCTGAGTTAATCTAGTTAGCACTGACTTGGTGATTTGCTGACCAAAAGGTGTCTTGGGTTAAAGTTAGTAAAGTAAGTAAATTTCACTGATTCTATTTTAATGTGAAGCAGAACCTAAATACATATTGAAATATAGTCATTTCAACTGGGGCTGAAACTAGCAATTATTGTCATACCCAATCGTATCATTTAGGGTATGGGAATTTATGGAACCTAGGGAATGGCCTTTTTTCTTCAATAACACAATTATTTGATTATCAGTAGTTATAGATTATTATTCTGTAAATCAACTAATTAATAGACTCATTATTTCAGCTCTAATAGCAATGCTGTTGAGACTGTCTTCTTCTTCATCTTTTTCTTCTTTTTCTTCTTCTTCTTCCCCCCTTCACAGTTGTTCCAGCTATAGAGTGTGACGTCAGAGCAGGGAAGATCAATCTCCCAGAGTTCATAGCCAAATGCCCTGCACATTGTAAGGAGACAAAGCAGCAAGTCTATGGGACAGGCGTGTTCGCCTCCATCTCTAGCATCTGCAACGCAGCCATCCACAGGTTAACAGCGGAGCGATAAATGTGAAATTAAGCTCATGTCAGACATCTTTTTGGCAGTCAAAATAGCCTTTTAACAATTATATCTGATTAAAAATCTTGTGTCCACAGTGGCGTCATCACCAACACAGGAGGAAAGGTGATAGTGAGGAAGATGGCTGGGCAAAACGCCTACAAAGGCAGCAACTCCAATGGAGTGCGCTCTCTGTCTCTACCTAAGTGGAGGGAGTCGTTTGTTGTCTCAGGTATTAACAATGAAGTTAGTAATGTTAAACACAGTTCTTTCGCCCTCCAACCAACAACTGGGTCTGCTGTGTTTCAGTGGGGAAGCCCAAGAAAGGAGTAATCTATCCATCTACTCTGGACTACATCCCTGCAAGACCAACCTATGTGAAAACAGGTGAGAGGAGGGTTATTTTTACATTCACGTCATGCATCTTTTAGGTGAATAAGAATTTTAGTGCTTTACATTTGTTTTGTTGTTGAGTGGATTGGCCGTTGCCTACTGTTTCACATTGATAGGAGCCAGTAAGCACTGATTTGTAACTCAAAAGATGTCTAGGCATCTGACTTCAAACTGAGCAAAATGTGGTTAAAAGTGACAGGTTGTTGTCTAGATTACATATAACCATTATTTGAACAGCATTTCATTCACCATATGTAGTGATATGACAGGGTATACTTCACAATATAATACAGTTATTAAATTATTATTAAACAAAAATTAATTGTAACCTAGACAACAATTTTTTGTCCATTTTTAACCCAGACATCTTATGGCCCACAAATCACTAAATCACAGCGTTCTGAGACAAAAGGTTATTATATAGACCTCCCTGCACTTCACTCTGGCATTTGGAACTACGCTCCGGTTGAATGAGGAGTCAGAGCACTGCAGTCTGGTGAAGATCATCAAGAATGCATTAATACACAGCGGTAACTGTAGACGCTCTTCCTCCTCCACAGTGCCGCCTACAACAACAGCACCTGAACCTACCACAACTACAACCCCTGAACCCACCACCACCACCACGCTGGCTCCCACCACTACTACTACATCCCCATCACCACCCACAACTACCAAGGCTCGGGCTGCTGTCCACAAAGTCAGGGATGCAGGTGATTTAAACAAACACACACTTCATCATACATCATTTTTGAATACATACATGTACAAAAAGCTAATTCTTTCGTCTAAATCAATAGATCCATGTATGTTATGTTATGTGGGGGATTGGGTATTTACTTGGATGCAGGATCCAGTAATACCGATCCCCTGCAGCCAGTGTTCTGCCTAGCTGACGTCTACTGTAACTAACAACATTAGCAGCTTGTAACTAGAAACACTGTTCGCCAGAACAAGCTTTCATTTGTGTGAAACTGAGTGATGAGGACGAACGATTGCAGCTGGTAATTACAAGTCACAACTGCAATTATGACAAATTACAGCTGGTCTGTGATGAAGTTACAGTGCTGTCCAGTTGCTCGACTGGCTGACTGACTTAACTGTACCCTTGATCACCAAAGCGTTCATCACTCTTATTAAATTAAAACCACTGTGAGTCACCTGGCCTGTTTTGGATAGAAATGCAGCTACAACTACAGTGAGTAGACAATGCTGCAGTATCTTAAGGTATGTGTGTACATGAGATGGGCCATGTGCCAGACAACCTCCCAACCGTTTCTCTCTCCTTCATTTTCTGTAACATTATCTCTCCCCTCTCCATATTGGCACCCCATTTGTCTTTCTTCTTACTAGGCAGCAGTCACCCATACCTTGCCTCTGTGGCAGCCGCAAGTTCAAGTAAGTGAAGCAAGGCAGACAGGAGTCAACTGTATGGCGTCAGATCGGTCTCAATGATAATGAATGAAGGATTCACAAATTTATTTCAGGATACAGGAGATATATATATATATATATATATGTGCTCGTATAGCAATTACCTACCATTCATAACTCAAACATATCTAATCATGCACGACAGGAGAGTTATCACTTGTGGAGAGCAGACTCCATATTAGGGTTGACTTACAGGTAATTCCTAATAATTCTGGAGGACTACATGGTAGGTAATGATGATTTACTAGAGAATGGACTGGTAGATACTAAATTAATGAATCATCAGGTAATGATTAGTTCATGAATATCTGTGAATCTATTTGCTGTTATATTTTTGCAGATAAATAGAAGAACTTCACACTGTCTCACCTTCTGTTGGAATGTTTAACTTATGGACAGGTACTCATGAAGTAATTATATGGTATTTACCATTCAGTCTGATGCACCATTCTCAGTGGAAGGACACAACAAGGGTAAATAATGGACAGTTAATAACTAAGTAATTATTCAGTACTCAGTAACCACTTAGCATGATACACCACTGTACTTGAAGGGACATAAAAAGGTTAAGTAATCATAAGATAATAATGAAATAATGAGGGGCTACTTAGTAACTACTCAGTATTAGGCATCACTTAACTTGGGGTTCACAAAAACAGTGTAATTAGTGATGAATGAGTTGTTACTAGTTTTGTGCCATACACCGGCTGGTTCAGAGTTAATCAGAAACAGCTGAAAGTGGACAGTATGATCAATTTGCAGATATTCATGCATTAAAAGTAATTCATCATTATCTACTATATAATCCTCCATTAGGAATTATTTTATTATTATTTTTATTATTTTATATTATTTTTATTTAGTACTTATTAATGATTCATCAATAATCGAGTCATTCCTGATTTATTCCTCACTCACTCATTTCTAGAATAATTAATTATTAACTGATCATTAGCCAATCTATACAATTCAATAAGGAGTTACTCATTAACTGATAGTTCACTCGCAGTTAGTTCCTCATTCGTTTTTGTCCCTTTTTCAAAAAGTGTTACCTGCGAGCCATGTGATTGGCTACAGATAATTCCCTGTTAAAAAATGTGTGAATTGAGCCACGGCAGGGGAGTCTCAAAACATCCACACACAAATGCTGTGAAGTTCACACATGGCAAGCTGTTTGTAAATGCAGGTTCAGAGTTTTGTATATGAATTTAAAAACACCCAAATATGTTTTTGATGAAAACAGCAAACACTTTTGTTTTTGCCCCCATTCATCATGAGCTGAACTCAAAGACTTTCTCTTTGTTCACAAATCTGTCAAATTCTGTTTTAGTGAACAATATAATCCATCCACCTCACAGCTGTGGCATATCAATATGCTGATCAGACAGCATCGATATTGCAGAGGCGTGCAAAATTTGCAGTTTCACTGTATTGAGAGGGATCTGCCCTGTACAGTGAAAACCAGTATTGATCCGTGAAGAGAACGCCTCAACAAAGTGCTAGACGCCATCGAATGTGAACATTTGCCCACTCAAGTCGGTTTTGACAACGATCTGCATTCAGGTCGAGACCCTGATGAGGACGACGAGCATGCAGATGAGCTTCCCTGTGACAGTTCCTGAGAGTTTGTGCAGAAATTCTTTGGTTATGCAAACCGACTGTTGCAGCAGCTGTCTGGGTGGCTGGTCTCAGACGATCTTGGAGGTGAAGATGCTGGATGTAGAGGTCCTGGGCTGGTGTGGTTACACGTGGTCTGCGGTTGTGAGGCCAGTTGGATGTACTGACAAATTCTCTGAAAAGCCTTTGGAGACGGCTTATGGTAGAGAAAAGAAAATTCAATTCACAGGCAACAGCTCTGGTGGACATTCCAGCAGTCAGCAAGCCAATTGCACACTCCCTCAAAACTTGCGACATCTATGGCATTGTGCTGTGTGATGGAACTGCACATTTTCGAGTGACCTTTTATTGTGGCCAGCCTAAGGCACACCTGTTCAATACCCATGTTGTCTGATCAGCATCTTGATATGCCACACCTGTGAGAGAAATAGGCCTTTTGTGTACATACAGAAAGTCTTAGATCTTTGAGTTCAGCTCTTAATGAATGGGGGCAAAAACAAAAGTGTTGTGTTTATAATTTTGTTCATTGTATATGAACGATAAATATTTTTGTGTGCACTGAACAATATTTTTGTGGAGAGAGTCATTTATATATAAATGCATTCATTAATAGTGAGATTGATCTGGCTCCATAAAACTGTGTGTTTTTGGGTGGCATGAGGGTGTTTACACTGTGATGTGCATGTAGATGTTTACATCAAGCTTGAGGTGTTTGCTTCACACCTGTTCTCTGAGTGTAGTGTACATCAGGATTCATCATGTATTCTGTATTAAAGGTATCAGTGTTCCTGTTCACATAGCAAGTTTGTCTTTATCAACGGCACAACTTGTGTATTTAAAAAGTCTGTTCAGTTAACTTGTTTTAAGCCAAAAACTTAAAACAGTAAGGCCATGACCTGGGCTATTGGTTTAATTTAATAATCCAAAACTATGTTGAATTTGCATCTAATTTACATACCAGTTTTATTTGTCCACACTCTGTTATTTTCAACACTGGTATAGGACAGTCACAGAATGGTCAAGGAAAGAGTTTCAGCCAAGGTACGTCAATACTTTCACTGATTATGCAGCTCTTGGAAAGTCCTGTAAGCACATATACAAATTCAAGTTTAACTAAAACATGGCATTTCTTCAAAGTATTCAGAGGAAGTGCCTATCCAAATAGATTCCCACAACGTGCCAGTGCAGGTAAAGCAAGATTTAATCTTCCTGATGTGTCCTTTTTCATTCTAACTTAGCAAAAGATTGCCTCACCATTTGCTCTTTGCTCTATCTTTCTTTTGTACTGATATACATAAACTCTGCATGGCATCTCTGCTCTGTATGTGCACAGCTGCTTTAAAAGACTTGTACATTCTTCTAACTCAGGGCCGGACCAGATTTTTCTTGAAAAGCCCAGCTTCTTTTCTGTTGTCTGTCAAGTAAAATACCACAAAACACAAGATGCCATTCGTTTTGCATGTAACTTAGTCATAAACTAAAAGTATCGGACAAATTAAAGTGTTGTCCTGATGGTGTGCTTGAGGTATAGTCAGGGATCACCAAAGTCAGTATGAATCATCCTTCAGGGACCGTGAATGTCTGTTCAAAATTTCATGGCACCCCATCCAATAGTTGGAATTAATATTCAGTCTGTTATGAATGAAATATGGATGTTATTTCATGTTGTCTCATAACACATATGTCTTGGTCCCAGGTCTGCGTAGACCAGAGGCAGGGTCAGCTATCAGGAGACAGCCATCCTCTCCAGTTGGCCCAGGTCAGCCTCACCATTAGCACACACACAAAAACAGAGTAACAAACAGGTAGACATGGTGGGATTGACAGGGAATGCGGGTCAAGGGCATCAGGGGGGGACAGATGGCTTTGTTGGAACAAGAATCCAGGAGACTCTGTAAGTCTGACCCTCATATCCACACCCATAAGCCCCTGTGTTCTTCACCCCAGGGTCACCACTAATCCACTCCATCAAGCATCTCAGCTGACATTCCTTTCACGATAACCGCTGTTCTCTGTCATCAGGCACATCCTCTTATTCATGTTTTCATTTTTTGAGATGAAAAGAGACAAATGAAGCTTTTTATATCGTGCTGCGGAGAAAATGCCTTCAATTCCACTCAAAGCAAACAGCTGGGCTTCATTTGTGGATGGAGCCCCCCGACCTGAAACTCTCTTCTGCCCCTCCTTCCCTCCTTCTCCTCTCTTATTCCATCTGCCTGTTTCTCATTGCTACAAACAGCTTTTAACAGGGTTCAGCCAGCCCCACCCGAGCGAACTCCAACCATGAGCCAGTCCAATCCCGGTAAGTATCTCCAGACCCTGAGTGGGAGTCCTCAGACTGCACCAGCAGACACACTCACGGACAGGGATAAGTACACAGATCTGATCAAACAAGGGAATGACTGGGACAATATATGTTTTATAAAGCAGCACTAATGTTTACCCTTTGTGGGATGCTGTGGTTCAGTGTGTGGCCAATCTTCTATAAATGACGGACAGGAATACAATTACGACTTTCACTGTACCCAACATGAAAAAAGTGAACAGTGAGTATGGTGGAATGCCTCAAAGATGAGCGGCGATGTGATGTCATTGTCCCGAATTCATCTTCAGCATTATCTACACTAGTGGGAGAAAGCAGCAATCTCTCAGCTTTCTCTTTTAGATAAGGCCACGATGAGAAACTTGCTCTGTCAGTGCTCTAATAACATCTTATGACAGAGCCCATCTGGTCTGCCCACTTCCCCTCCCTTGTAAATGCTTGCAGAGAGGAAGAGAGAGATGAAAGTAGCAGCACCAAGTGACCCAATCCGCAGCACTGCAGGATCTGGGTCCACTCTTCAGCCTGTCAAGAATAGACAGCTCTCGCCATTCAGACCAGGCTAGGTTTGGCTCGCTGAGGAATGTGCTTCTGTTTTTGCCTCTGTGGAATGCAAAAGTAAAAATAAGACAGATTTATATTCATTTAAATGATGGTTGATTGTGTTGACAGGATTTCTAGAACGCAGTGTGAGCTGTTTTAAGCTTGTGCATCATTTCTCTAACTGACGTGTTTCTGCTGAGACTTAAGTATGTGAAGTATCTGATCGGTGCAGAGAGCAGCCATTCAGATCGGCAGCTTGTGGATAATAATGTGATACTTTATTGATCCCCTTAGGGAAATTCTTAGAGCTTAAGGTTAGAAGTCAGAGGTCAGGATCAGTTACACAGCAGCACCCCTGGAGCCAGCAGGGATTCAGTGTATTTCTTCAGGACACTCTAGCGGGGTAGATGCTTGCAGACATTTATGAGTTGAAGGTTTTCCCCCCACTGGCTTTGCCACTCGGCTGCCCCAAACAGATGTTTGAATTTATTGCTTTATGAAAATTTTCCAGTTTGTCCTCGCATTTGTAATGAGATATGCTCACTTGACAACCACAAATGTTCATGACAACGTCCTGTGAAATATGTCGAGATTCTGTTTCTTGGGTCTCTGTGTTTTCTATGAGAATTTGCATATTACCAATGATCCTGCAAAGCATATAGCAGACTGAGTGAGCTACAACCCAAGGTGTTGGATGGGTATCCTTGATCCTGCTCTGACCTTCTGGCCGCACTGATCACTGAGGTGGCTATGATCAGGAGAGTTAAACTCAATCCTTTTAAAGCACCTGTTTCATCAGAAAAAACAACACAACTGTCTGCTGTATAGTGCAGGGCCTTTGACCAGCAGCAGATTAGGCTAATCTCTGCGTCCCACTATCTACACTGTCCCTGGTTTGACACCAACTTTACAATAATACTCCCACGCTTCGCTGGGCTGCTGGCTGGACTCTCCCAGCCCGTCCCGGTCAACAAAGGCCCTGCTCACTAGCTGTCACTGGATGGGAACCTCAGAGCCCAGGTTGTGTGTTTATGTAAGCTACCCATCCACCACAGGGAGGGGCTAACTGGAGTGTGTTGTCATGGCTCAGCCAGTTTAGACAGATGTGATGCCCTGTTGTGGTTTTCCTCAGCTGTTTGGGCTTCCAGTGTTAAATCACAGTTCAATTAACCTCAAGCCATGCTAGAGTCTGGCCGATTAAACTGCCCAATGTTTTTGCCACGTTATAAGTTACCACTTTGAGTCTGTGTGATCAAAATGTGATGCCAAGAGGAGTAAGTAGAAATGCAAGAAGAAATGAGAAACACATTTTCTCAGAGAGCTGGGCTTCCTCTGTCTCTCTACACTGGAGGTAGAAAGAGTAAGGCTACACTTCACTAAAACAACTTGTAGTTGCTCAGTCACTGTCTGTCTGAGTGACTACTGTATGTTTAGTGGCTGGCTCAAGGCTGATCATCTTGTGCATACCCCACTAATAACATGGCAGGTTTAGTGGAGGTCACAAGTATGCTCCTCCTTGTTGCTTGTCCTGAACACAGCTTTCTAATCTTCCCCCGCACAGCTTTTCCCAGAAGGGATTGGGCGCCCCCCTCCTATCCTCGTCCTGATTGGTTCCCTGGTGCTCAACGACCAGCAGGTACCAAATACAAAATAGATAATCCTTCTTAAACAAGTGATAAGTATATTCGAATTTAAATGTAAGTGTTTTCTTTAATTTCAAACTGACTAAGGGAAGAATTGTATGGGTGTGATATTAAATATAATAAAATAGTTTCTGTTAAAGTAGGTGTTACAATGTCCATGCTACGATCCTTTAATTTATTAATCCAATGACAACTATGTGGCCTTATAAATACATTTTTAGAATTCTCACTCACAGTTAGAAACACATTTGTAAGAGTTTGTCTCATAGCCTACTCTTTGCTAATCAATAAAAGTGAACTGGAGAAGAGCTACTTTAAAAGTCAATTTTGCAATGAAGCATTTAAGGTTGTCAATAAATGACATGAATGAATGACATATGAATAATATAATACTGAATATTATATTATTTCTGGTCCACACATGCTGTATCATACCATTAGAATAAGGTTTGAAGTGTTAAATGTGGGTGACTGTGATATAATAATTCAACCTCTACTTAAACACAGTCTCTGTGAGACTGCACAATGGTGCTTTGAGCTAAATGCTAATGTCAGCCTGCTAACATTTTAACAACACGGATGTAGTAAGAAAGATTCCTCTAATAATACATCCATCATCCAAAATTTATTTTTACCATATTAGCATGCTAACATTTACTAATTTGCACTAAACACAAAGTCCAGGAAAGGGAATGTCATTAGTTTAAGGTAGCATTGAGTTGTAAGCCTTGTAGTTTCTGACGCCTCCACCTTCTCTGCTGTACATTCAGATGTTAGTTATGCAGCTCCAGACTCTGGATACACGTGGAGTGAGACAGACACACCTGAGATTACAGGTAAGTCTACATCCCTCTGAAAGCAACACAACATGACAGTAGTTGGGTGTGTGCTGCCCCCTTCATAGTGGCAGGTTACTACACCTTATATCCATGTGAGTTGCATGTCCAAACACAGCTTGCATGTGTGACTGAAACAGTAAGGCATCTGCTGACCATGTATGTGTTGAATTGGCTCCATCTGTAAGTACATGCAATGTGTCTCTCAGGACATTGTGTTTACATGCCATCTGCCTGCCATATGAGAGATTCCTGTGAAGTGTGGAAGAGAGTAGCATAAGGCAGGTTTATTATTTGTGCATGTAAGAGAGACACTGTGAGGTGATAATCTGCACAAAGCCATTATTTTCACTGGTCTGGGATTGGTTGGGAAGAATTTGTGACCAATCACAACCATGGAAATGTGTGCTTTTCCCTCTGAAGTTCATTGTGGGAATACTAACAGGTTTCACAACATCCTTCTCTAGCTCGGGATCACAGGCCTGATATCTCAGAATATGAGCGCTGGTTTTATAACTTTGGACCGTACCGTAAGTGTTTTTCTATTCTATTTATTGGGAACTAACAATACCTGGGGTTCAGGTTTAATATTGTCATATATACGAATGTGATTCTGTAGATGTTTGACTGTTTTCTCTTAATGACAACTTATGACCACACTCATATTATTCCCATGTTATTTGACACGGGACTACTTTTATTTCTTGTTTCATTTAGTGTTTAAATGAAATGTATTGTGTCAATGTCCTTTTGACTCTCGGTGAGATGTCACTTGGTGTTTATTTGTGTCACTTGGTGGTCTTTATACAACCTGCACAAGTTATATGGAGAATATAGCCTAAAGTACGGAAGCCCTAAGTGGCCATTCATTCAATTTTTTTTTTCTCCACGTTTTTTCGGGGATTACGGGAGAAGTATCTTGTGATCGCGATATAACGAATGTTGTTTTCCCTTGATAACTGGATAATTTTCTCATGATCTCAAGATAGCAAACCATAGCTGAACACGTGTGTTTCTTTAGGATAATTTCAGAGCACTTTTCAGTATGACTAGTTAGCTCAGTTGGTAGAATTGTATTATCCTCTTAAACAAAGTTATGAAGAGATTCAGGGGAATCCAATCACATTTCCCGACGGCTATTTCGGAAACCTTTAAATAGCCATCAGAAAATGTGTAACATTGAATGGATTCCCTGAATGAGTAGCACAGTAATTTCCTCTGCCTGGAAATGATGGGGAAATGAAAAGTCCATAGGTTGATGGATGTGGACCAATTGCAGTCTCTTCATAAGAACTTTGTTGAAGAGGATTATGAAAAAAAGAAAAGACAAAAAGTTTGTGATCAGTGAGGATCGAACCTACAACTCCAAGAGTGATGTGCTCTACCAACTGAGCTAACCAGTGAAAATTATATTTATGTTGAAATTACTATTATTATTATTGTGTGAAACTACTGTTTTGTTATCTTGAAATCACGAGAAAATTATCCCATCATCACGGGAAAACGATGTAAAAAAAATGTTTTAATCGATGGCTGCTTAGGGCTTCCATACTAAAGTGAAAAATAAAAGGAATTTTTCTGCAAGCTAGCTCAGACATGGGCCATGACACTTAAAGGAACAATTTGATAGTTAGGGAAATATGCTTATGTGCTTTCTTGCAGAGAGTTAAATAATGACAAGAATCTTAGCTTAGCACAAAGTCTGGAAACAGGTAAACAGCTGCCCTGGCTCTGTTTATAGGTTACAAAATTACATATTGGTTTTATACTTAGGTTTTTGTACATATATAGCAGAACTGGATATAACAACATTTATTCATGAGCTTTATACAATGTCTACACAGGCTGCGTAGAGAAAGCAGGGCAATAGCAGAGCAGAGCAGTAGCAGCTAGAGCTTAGTCCTCCATGTGTGTTTACATAGGATGTGTTCAGGCACAGCATTGAGTGTAAGTCACCATGCTTTGACAGATCTTAAAACCCAACACACAATCTCTGTAGTTAGGCACGTAAATCGGAATTAAATAGAGAGTGAAAATAGCTTTGGGTCGGCTACACACGTCAAACGTGAGTGAAATGCTCTGCCTGTGTAGACAGCTGTGTTGATTTAAACAGAAGCAGATCTATTGCGTCATATGCGAGTACGAGACCACTGCAAAAGTGCAAACAGTTGAAACGTCTCCTGTATAGACAAGCCTTTACCTTCACACAGAGTTATGCTAGCTGTTTCCGTCTGCTTCTAGTCTTTATGCTAAGCTAGGCTAATCACCCCTGGTTCTAGCTCCATACCACACAGACATGAAAGTACTGTTGACCTTCTCAATTTCCCGCGTGCACAACAAAAATACCACCACACACATACACACATCCAACCCAATGAAACATTGAGCTGGTGGGAGCCTGCTGTAAGGCCGTGTTGTCTTTACATTTGTTTCACATATATCGTGTGTCACAGTCTGTCGTCACTGATGTCTTTACTTTTAGTGCCTCGCTCTACAGACTCAGATGGCGGCCGTAAAGTGCCATTGGATACAACCCATACAAGAGGTGAGCAGTGGCTATCATGGCTACAAACACCTGCTTTAGCTTTTTAATTAGTAGAGCTGAAAAACTGTATGAAGAATTTTCCATTTACAATAATGATAATAATAATAGGAATAATAATAATGATAACAGCTTGAATTTTTAAAGTGCCTTTTAGGTGACTTATGGAAACTTTACACATGAGGAATGAGGAAATGTAATTATAAAATGATCGTAGCTAGCAATGTTAGCCGCTGATAACTGTGTTAATTAAGTCCATAGGCCTTGGTGAAGAGGTAGGTTTTCAGGAGTATTTTGAAAATATCCAAAGATGCAGCATTGCTGATCTCTGTCTGAGAGAGTTCCAAAGGGTGGGGCTGCCATACTGAAGGAGAAACCAAGAAACTTCTTTTTGTAGAGCTACTGTATATTGATGGGTGATGTTAATTAGTTACTTGCTGAGTTGTTGTAGACATGTGCTAATGCTGAGCTTGTATGATATCATCTATGCAGTGGAGCCAGTGGATGCCTGGAAGCCAGAAGCAAACATTTATGAATCAGGTGAGATAACTTGCACCACTCCTTTTTCTACACCCCAAATGAGTCACTTTGCCAGTAAACCTTCAGTTTTGACTGGAAGTACAAACCAAACCAAGGTTATCCAAGGAAAAGCATATGGGTTTCTGCTCAGCCTGTAATTGTAGGGATTTGGAGTCAAAGTGAAATGGCATGGTTGCTTGAGGATAAAATCAGTTCCTGTTTGGCAAAGCTTTTGCCACAACAAATACTGGCTAAGATTTTGGGATCTTTGCAAATGTGCCATGTTCAATGGAAATTTAACCAAACAAGCTTTTAGGTTGATTCTGCAAAAAAAGACATTTTCTCTTTCTTTGTAATAGGAGGGTAGAACATTTATGAAGATTTATTTCCATAATAAAATGTGATTAAACTGCCTTAATTATTGTCAATTGAATTGTCTTGTCCACCATCCTATATGAATTATGTATGATTAAATAGGATGGGATCTGTTTCTTTTAAAATAATTTTGATAATACAAATGTCAGTGTAATTAAAGGACACAAAAGTTAAAAAAAATCTTAGGAAAACTCTTATTTGCAGTATAAAGCCTAAAGATTAGATTTTTTAGCAGAACAGCAGAATTCTGTTTAAAAGACTTGTGTGTTTCTTGTTTTTTAGGCTTCAACATGAGGGAGCAAGAACCTGTACCCAGAGCACCTGAGCCTGTGTCACAGGGAGACCCAAGTATGTCCCTCATACTTCTTTAAAGCCACTATTCGTATAATTTCTTTATTTAGTGTATTAATTTCAGTTTCCCCCGCCAAAATCTGTGGCATTAAAGGTACCCTGTAGAATTCGAGTCCTGTTTACATTCAATGTTTCTCACGGAGTACATTATATGTTTCCTTTTGGCCTAAAAAATGTGTTAACTGGATATCCTTCCTCATAAAACATTTGCAAAGAAAATATTTGGAATTGCATTAAATTGCACTGTTTATATACATGTCAACACCACTTGTCAATCAGTGAAATGTCAATCACCCATGTGCTTGTGTGTGTGCGTCAACAAAATGGGTGCCCACAAGTAAAAACAATGATCTAAACCACTACCAGTGGTCAAAAACTCCCTACCTTTCAAAAACTACCTTTAATATCTGCCACCTTGACTTTTTTACTAAAACTTCTACAGGGCATTAGAGTTTTAAAATTTCATTCATTATGGCTTTAACTGGGAACAAATGTATTACCAAACACATTATTATTGAATCTGCTGCAACCTTGCGGCGTGTCCTCTGTTTGCAGATTGTAAGGTGGACCTGGCCTTCCTGATGGATGGGAGCTGGAGCATTGGGAAGAGGCGCTTTAAGATCCAGAAGGACTTCCTGTCTGAGGTGGCTCAGGCCATCAACGTGGGAGTGGCCGGACCCATGATGGGCCTCATCCAATACGGGTAGCCTCACCATTCCTGTTGTGTTACTATGTACCATTTTTAGATAAGCAAAACATATTGTGATTGCTTGTTGTTTTTCTCAAGGGATGACCCTGTGACAGAGATCAGTCTGAAGTCTTACTCCAACTCCAGAGAGGTGAAGTCAGCCATAGATAAGGTTGTGCAGAAGGGAGGCCTCACCAATGTGGGTGAGTGACCCGCTGTTAGCTGCCAGCTACAGTAAATGCCTACAAATGCAAGTGTGAAAGTGAAAGGGTTGCCATTATCGCACGGTTTACTACCCAGGCACATTTTCACATGCAAGGATGGAATTAAATCTAAATTTACTGCGAGACACTGTTACCGAAATTACAGTCCTGCTTCTGTAAGCCATGTTTTTCCTCTGCTTTGACCAAAAAGCACTTGGTTTGGCATTTTTTACCAGCCCATGGGGGTCAGCTTTCAGAGGGCAAGTGCTGTTTTTCTGCTTTGCTTGGTGCGTCAGCATGCATCCCCTGCCACATTTGTCTTTATGACTTGCTAAATTTTGCATTCACATATAGTGTTTGTGTTTTCCCAGAAGTGCTCTGTAATCATATAACAGTGTGAGTGGTTGTAAAAACTATGGTCCCCAACAGAGCATTTCCTGTTCTGCCATCATTTAGATCAGTGGTTTTCAAACTTTTTCACGTCATGGACCCCTAAACTGACACAAATTATACCATACATTAGTAAAAATAAATGATTCTCCTTTTTGCTAGGGTTACCCTAAAAAAAAAATCTCAGTCCACTGAACATACATTATGAGCACACATTGGTTCTTGTCCCTCAACTTCTTTTCCTAAATGCATTCCTGCATTTCAACCACAGACATAAAGTGGATGTAACATAATTTTAACTGTCTCCCTGCTGCCCCCTGGTGCACCGACAGGAAAGGCCCTCACCTACATCAACAAGCAGTACTTCAGTGATGCCAATGGAAACCGAGGGGGAGCTCCTAACGTGGCCGTGGTGCTGGTGGATGGCTGGCCCACAGACAAGGTGGAGGAGGCGTCTCGGCTCGCTCGAGAGTCTGGCATCAACATATTTTTCGTCACCATTGAGGGCCCTGATGACAACGAGAAAGAAAATCTGGTCGAGACCAACTTTGTTGACAAGGTGGGGTATTGTCACAGAGGTGTTGTCGGTGCTTCATTTAAACATGCCAGCTTGAAACAAAGTGTGTCCTTCATCCTACAGGCTGTGTGTCGGACAAACGGCTTCTTCTCCCTGCCCGTGACCAGCTGGTTTTCTCTGAGGAAGGCCGTGCAGCCCCTGGTGAAGAGAGTGTGTGACACAGACCGCCTGGTGTGCAGCAAAACCTGCCTCAACGCCAACGACATCGCCTTTGTCATCGATGGCTCCAGCAGTGTGGGAACCGGCAACTTCCGCACGGTGCTGCAATTTGTGGCCAACATCACGCGGGAGTTTGAGATCTCTGACACCGACACACGGGTCGGAGCCGTGCAGTACACCTACGAGCAGAGGCTGGAGTTTGCCTTCGGCCAGTATAACAACAAGGCCGAGCTACTGAACGCCATAAAACGCATCAACTACTGGAGCGGCGGTACCAGCACCGGCGCTGCCATCACCTACGCTGCGGAGCAGCTTTTTAGCAAATCCAAACCCAACAAGCGCAAGATCATGATTGTCATTACAGATGGGCGCTCCTACGATGACGTCAGGGCACCTGCTCTGGCTGTCCATCGCCAAGGTTAGAGGTCAACCACAACAGAATATGAAACATTTTTGTCCTTGCACCATGTCCTTGCATCTAAAAGCATTTTCAAACCTCACTAAATAAATTAAAAAATGCATGATAATAACCTAAAACTAGATTTCTTTGCTCCTTAAGTTTGTAAGTAAAAACCCTTGACCTAGAATCAACAATATAATTCTACGAAAATGTGTTTCCTCTGGTGTGTGTCAGTCTACAGCGAGGTGTCAGGCAGTGTGTGTTTGATGTGACAAACACGTGTGAGGTGGCCCGTGTGTAATCAGCTCTCTCTTCTTGTGATCTAGGTGTGATCGCCTACTCCATCGGCATTGCCTGGGCAGCCCAGGACGAGCTGGAGTACATCGCCACAGACCCCGACAAGGAGCACTCCTTCTTTGTGGACGAGTTTGACAACCTCTACAAATTTGTACCCAAGATCATCCACAACATCTGCCAGGAGTTCAACTCCCAGCCCAGAAACTGAGGACCAGACAGGGTGGTGGTGTAGAGGGGGACGTCTTGTGATCCTGGGCTGTCTTAACAGAGCACTGATCGTAAATTTACTCACTCTGTTGCCCAGATGGCGGTTGCTGGATTGGCTGCAGCGCCCCATGTTTGAAAAGGGAGGGCTTTTGAATTTAGGTGAGGATTGTGGGTTTGGACAAAACAAATCTTAAAGTGAAACAGCATTTGGTTCCAAATATACAGATGGTGCTAATGGTAAAGGGTTTGTAAACACAGTGACATTGACATCTCATGTACACTGTGGTGCCAGTTGTCCTCTGTTGGTGCCATAAAGAGAACAGAGTATTCCTAATCATTTAATAATGGTACTAATAACTCACCCTTTGTAAAGGGTTCATAGCTTGTAACTATTTTTATTACTGGTAATAAATCATTTGCTAATGCTTTATAGATAAGTTATAAGCCATTAAGCAGAACAACATTTGTGTGGCCAGCCTGTGTTAATCCTCCTCTGGCATGAAACTCTTCAAACCTCTCCATCTGAACATCTGGACCAAAATTAATTTGTTAACAACTTTGTAAAAGCAAGTGACTGCTGCAGGAGCCGAAGGGATTTTTTGCAACTTGGCAACACAAAAGTTATTCTTCAATAAAGCATTTGTAGATGATTTAGACGCGATTTTAAGAACAACGTACAAAACCTTTTATAAATGGTGCCTTATTAGGAAGCGGTATCAAAAAGATTAACAAATATAAAGCTACCTTTCTGGGATTTGGTGCTTGCAGAGAAATGTAGACTTAAAGCATGCCTAGCACTTCCTCTTATGGCTTAACCTACTTCATAAACTTAATAAAATGGTGCTTTTTTATACAATTCTCTGTAAAGACGATATAATTTCTTAGAAATGGGTGCATTTTGATCTTCCTAATAGGAGAGATTTGATAGTAGGGACATTGTTTAAGTTCCTCTCAAGGACTGTGGCGCTGCCAGCTATTGGTATGAGGCATATGTGCAACCAACAAGTGGATGTGGAAAGCAAATCAACAACATGGAACAAAGACTGAAGTGAGGAAACAGGAGCTCGTCTATCTTTGTATAGAGCGATGGCAGATGAAAAATTTACTTCTCTGGAATGAAAGCAATTCATCTCATCACTCTTGTTTTCTAATAGTGTGGTTGCTTCTAACATTGCAGGCATTTCTCAGTTTTGTTGAAAGAGTATTTATGATTTTCTCCCTTTTATGTCCTGTTTGTACATATGCATATTAAAAGCATTTCCCTAATAATGGTCAGATAATTGATCTGATTTTTTTGGTGCAATTTTTAATAAAATAAAGAAAATGAAGAGAACTTAAAGTGGCTGACTTCTCCTGAATCATTTCTTGATCCGATTGCCGCAATTTGCCAAAATCGCACTCCTCCTCAGATTCTTAACGCAGTCATGTCCGAATACACGGACATGTTTTTAGATTCAGTGTGACACTCTTCATTGTGAATCAGGAAAAAGACACTCCTTATAGCTTCATAACTTGCCTGAGAATCATCATGTTTTTAAGTTTTCTTCAGTATCATAGTAATCCAGTGACGGTTGTCTGTGCATCCATGGATACAGTGCAAACAGAGTTGGTAGTAGCCAAAATGTAAATATAGGCTTAAAACAGGCTCACGTAGTCAGAGTGTAACTCACTAAATCCATTGATGTGCTGTGTGTCAGATTGAAAACTCCTGATCGGCAATGATGACCACACTTGGTTTCTGCAAGTTGCAAACAACATTCACAAATGACCAACATCAGAGTCTAGTTAACATTTTACAGCAGGTTTTATTTTGAACATACTTTCATATACAAACCAGTGACTGAGAAAATGGCTCATTTGAAGCTGTACTCTAAATGTACAACATCTTGATTGATTAGTTGTTTTTTTTATTTAATGCAGGATTGTTTCCTCCCTTCAGTTTACAGTAAACTGGAATTTGCAGGACATTTCTCCTCCCTGTCGGATGGTTAACTCATTATTTCAAACAGTCCTACAGTACTGCACTAATTTCCTGCTAAACACTGGACTACTGTAAATTTCTGGACATGATACATCACATTGTAGTCGAGCATGTCCACACAATTGGGGAAAACTACATACAGTACAAGCCATTCAATTCAAACAAGAGCAAACTGGCCAAAATCAATTAGTTATTCCTAAAATGGACACCCAGAACCAAGTTTGAATTGCAATTATATAACCAAGATGGTTTACTTTGGACACATATGTTTGTAATCTTACTTCTGAAGTGTACAATAAATTGAACCCAACAAACAGGCATTATATTTAATGGTCTGTGTCACTCTAACAGCTTTGCCCTGAAATGCACAAAATTGGTTCCCCAACCACACTTATCAAAAAGGAGCACTCAAACTCACGCTGCACAGTAAATTTTAAGACTGAATATATATTTTGTTTATTATAAGCATTTGTAATTTTACATCCAATGTTAAAATCGACAACATTGTGACAACCAGCTCCATTTCTCTGCCGTCCCCTCCCTCCCTGTTCCCCAAAACAAGCTTGTTAAAATAACGTTTTTCAAGACCTTTTTAAAGCAAAGGCACATTTGTTAACACGTGTTTTAAAAAGGAAAATAAAGGCAGGCCAGCAAGCAGAGTCAGTCTGGGAAGCAGAGAAGCAGAAGTGAGAGGCTTCCACAACAGCTCCAGCAAGCCTTCAGTAACCCACATTTCTAGAACACCACTACACAAAACCTGACTTGGAGTAAAGGGCCCGAACCTGGTTGGTCTGACAGGGAAGGTCGAGGGCCAGAGGGATTAGGGATGAGCGTGAAGTCAAAGGGGCAGAAGACCGGCTTGAAACCTCATTTCTCCACTCCGCACTCTAACACTTGTCCTGAGCCTCCTAGCTACAGAGGTAAAGTTTTAGTCTGTCTGGGTGTGGGGTGGGGGTGGGGGGCGCTGTGGAGGGCCACACCCAGGCCTGCCTGGATGGTAGATGGGGGACTGGAGAGCAGTTCTCCTCCTGACTGCCCTCCCTGCCGAACCTTTCTATGGAGAGTCAAGGCCCGTTTGAGGCTAGCGCTACATAGTCTACCAGTCCGACATGAAACCAGTGGGCTGTGAGAGGTGGGACTGGACCCATGCCTGAAGGTCCTTCCCCTCCTGTGTCTCTATTGGTCCCTGATCATGGGAGGCTGAGTCAGCGAGCAGGGCTGCAGGGAGAGACGCAGCTCCACGTCATACGAACACTTTGGCGAGCGCGTCCGCCCCGGCGCTAGCGATGTAGCATTTAGACGGATGAAACGCCACATCGTGGATCGACTCCTCAGACTTCTTTCTGTGAGCCGTGAACTCCTGGATGCAGGTTTTACTCTCCAGGTTCCACAGACGGATAGAGCAGTCATGACCTGCAGAGAGGATGACGAGTTACAAGTGGTTACAAGGCGAACAGCAAATCAAAAGGAAGTGTGAGCATGAACCAGTCTCAAACAAGACTTGACTTTGTAGCACACAGGGTGGCAATATGGCGTCTGGAGAAACACTTCAGACATAGATTTGAAATATCATAGAATGGTTTTACTTTTAAGTGGTTGTTTGTAGTAGCTGTGTTTAGGAGAATAACGCACAAGTGGATCTGAAAAGTGGTGTCAGCCTTCATTTTGGCTACTGATGAGTGCTTACAATAAATAAGACTAACCCAGTGTTTAATCAGTGGCATTGTCCTTTTTAAAGCAAGTTCCCTGTCCCATTTAGATCATCAGTGACTGAATGAGTCTCCTCTTTTACACACCTGCTGCAAAAACCTATAATACTGCTACTGTTACACAGTAACTGTACACATATTTTACTTCCAAGTATAAAGTTTTTCAAGATTGTGAAAGCTGTATATGTTCTCATAGGTTCAGATGCACAGTAGCAGGCAATAAAACCTCACCACGTCAACACTTGGATAATAACTATAATGTGTTTGAGAAAGAAGTTATGATAATTCACAGTCATTGCTGACTTTCACATATCCTGCTACACAGTCAGTCACTGCCAGATGGGCACAAAGAGACACACTGGTTCCAAAGGTACTTACTGCCTGACATGAGATAAAGTCCATTAGGGTCTACGGCTAAGCTTGTGACAGCATCCAGGTGAGCCACCATGGAGTGAATCAGCTTCCCACTGTTGTTGTCAAAGAACTTGATGTGTCTGTCCTCCTGCGCGGTGATGGTGATGGGAAGAGTCGGGTGGCTGAGGACCTTATTGACCTGACAGGGAGTGCCTGGGTAAAAACAGACGAGCGCATTAGACAACACACAGCAGGAGAGGGAATTTAGACCAAATGAATGGACAGGCAATCTGAATTAAATCTGATTGGTGGAAACATTATGTTCTATGTGCGGATGTTAAGCATGTTAAAACTAGTTGTTTTTTTTAAGTAGTGTGGCAACACCTCACCTGAGTATGCTGTTACTTGCTGATAAACAATTTAGTAACTAAATATTTTGATATGCACAAAGGTCTCGTTACTGAAGTACAAACTAAATGGGAATTCAATCAAATCCAAATATAGATGTTCTAAAAGAGAAAAAAACATTGAGGATTGTGGATAACAACATGTGTCTGCTTATGAATTACTTTCCTACAGCTGCCACTAGATGCTACTCAAGAGCCATAATTTCTAATGGCACTCTACCTCAACACTGTGACTGAATTCAATAAGCATTGTATCTGAATGTATTTCAGCCTAGAAATAAATGGCTAATTTTACTGATCAGAGGTCTAAATGCTGTTTTTTAGTTCATCCAGCCTTTCAGCTGGCATCCAGCCTTTCAGCTGGCAGACGTACCCGGCTCCAGATTGGACTCCAGACTAAGGACTTGCTGGCGCGTCTCCATGTTGAAGAGGCCAATCTGCCCGTTTGTGAAGGATGTGACCAGGTGGGCTGGATCACTACACACCAGGTCTACTGAGGAGGGAACTCCTAGGTCTTGAACACAGGACAGATCCAGTTATGTTATGTTAATTATTCAGTTAAAGCAAATATTTAGAAAAAGAAAGAAGTCATAGTAGTAAGCTTCAAGTTAGTACTTTTGTCTTCGTTGAATACTGCGAGGGCGGGGGAGGTTGTGTTGGCGTCCCACAGTCTCACGGTCCCGTCTGCCGAGCAGGAGAGGAGGCGCTGGTGTGCGCTGCTGTACACCAAACCCCACACTGAGTCAGTGTGCCCACACAAGGCTCCACGCAGCATTGATGGGTCTGCCACAGGAAACACACAACAACCCAATTCAGTTACTATGGTATGATTTGAAAACATCAGATTGAAACAAAACATGCGGCACCGTTACCGTAGGAGTCGTAGGGGTCGATGTTGGGATTGGGGGTGTTCCAGCACTGTATAGTCCCGTCAACCCCTCCGCTGAAACACTGCTCCCCTGTACTGCTCATCACCACACTCAGTACAGCCCCCCTGTGGTTTAAATAATGATGAATTATCAAAACATCTAAATTAAACAAAAACAAACAAATTGTTTTTATTCATGTGCAGTGTTTTTACCTGTGAGCCCTGAAAGTGTAGATCGGTTCAACATCTAAAGATGCACTCCTGTGGACAAACAATGTGTTCATTAATGTAATGTACAAAACAAAACAGCAGTGCAAACTGAATGTGTCAAAGATTCAAAATTATTGTCGTTAAATTTTTACAAAGTCATAAATGGATGTAAAATTTGCTGCCAGTGATCGATTATTTGCACATACTGTACTGTGCTGTTTTATTATCTTATTAAAGTGACTTCAGCCTCTGAAAATAAACACATCACATTACTCCAGACTGTGTGTGGGCTGTAGAGTTGTGACGTGACATTAACGGGTCTTGTGGAGTCAGAGTGTTGTCAGTTCTTTGTCACATGGGGACGGTTTCCTGTAACTAAACCGTGTGACAGTACAACAACAAAAGGCGAGCTATCCTCCTTATGGGATTGTAATCAACTACAGAGCTTTTATTACTAATGATGCTCACTCTGCTGCCTCAGGTACAAAGACTGAACCAAACACACTACTGTCTGAGTGTTAGTGTATCTAACAACAGATAAGGGAGGAATGGACAGCTATTCAATAAAACAGCAAAGTTGTTCATTTAGCACCTTTTGGCTGAATAAAAAAATGAAACCAACAGTAGGAATGAGTGAGAACTCGGCCTGTGTTGTACTGCAAGTGTTTGGAGGAGTTTAGCTTGCATGGAGACGTTCTTACTTTTTGGCAGGAGCGGTCTTTTGTAGGTTCCACATTTTGAGCGTGTGGTCCTCTGAAGCAGTAATCAGGACGGGCTCCACAGGGTGAAAGGCCAGAGCTCGAATCCCAT